CTGATCTAATAATCAGAGCCTCGTGGTCAGCTCATGCAACAGGCTTCTGTTAGATAATGTCTCTCCTATTCTTTTACATCCGACTCCGCACACCACTCCACTGGGTCATTGTGTAGTAAACAGAATGATCTGTGTTATCAAATGTATCAAATTACTATTCAGTTAGTAATTGGATTTTTTGTATTTTTGAATGATTAAAGCTCCAGGTGCAAGTCTTAGGTTTTATGGTCTTCACTTGAGAGGCAGCAGAGGGGTCGGTGGTCCTGTCCTCTGGATGTTAAATGTTGTAATGCGCAGGAATCAAAAAGGGTCTGACTGTTAAAGTTAGGTTTACTTTTCGTGTGAATACATTAGAGCTGCTGAAATAAAGTTCAAATGTTCAAGCGGTTAATTTCCTCACATTCATTTAGCCTAAGTTGGGAAGGTTCACTTCTGATATTGTTGTGGCTCAACTAAATGTTCCATTACAAAATTCATTTAACTTTCATCATGGCAGTACAAATGGTAATATTCAAGAATTTAAGCAAAACAGTAAACAGTAAAAACAGGGACACTGTTTCATTCACCGATGGCTGTATTCACTGGTTTGTTTGTGTTGCTTACACTATTACAACATGTTTCCCATGTTCTTTTCAAGCCTCTGTGGATAGATAGTGTGGGAACAGCACAGGGTGGTGAACAGTTACCAGACAGCCCGCTACACTAAATCTTAATGTGAGTCTGTGATGAATACTAACCTCATTTTATCAAATAACTTCATATTAAAAAGGAAATCTGTTGACGAATCAATCAAAAACTTAAAAACCGTTTCACTGGATATATAGCTTCTAGGAATCCGCTGAACCACAGCACATACATTATAATTCACTCATAGATGGTTTACTTACGCCTAGGAAGCTTTGTTTAATGACAATAATTGCTGATCCAAATTGCGACTTCTATGTGACGTTTGGGCTATTCGGTATTTATTCATTATGTTCTGGGACATAGTCCGACGTCGCCAGATTCTGGGAGATGGTGCTTCTAACTTTCTGGCAGATATTGACAACGGTGGCTTCATTCACCTGTTTTACTTTATATCCTACGCCTGTCCAACCTTGGTTTACCCTGACCGAAGGCGAGCCTATTAGCCTGGGCTTGTACGAGCAGCAAAAAATTGATGGCACTCGGTGGGAAGCGGCTCTCCCATTCCCTCTCACGTAAGGTCTTGGGGTTCCTACATATTAGGACTATCGTATCTGAAGTATCAGCCGGTACATGGGGGCAAAGGGTCAACAATATTAGATGTGGACTTCGGCTCATTTGTGTGCAACCTCAAGAGCATTTAGGATACTTCTATGGGGATGGTGACCTGGATGGGTGGTGGGTGCTGTTAAGGGGACGTCCTGGGGTTTTGTTTCTTTCTTAGTTTGTGCTGTTCTTGTACTGTATTGCTTTTAATGTTATTGTCTTGTCCATTTGTTTAATTAAATAATAAAAAAAATTGATTCACAAAAAAAACGTTTCACTGAGTCTGTGAGATTAGTACATAAAGCCAGACAGGAAAGGTTTGAAATGAAAAAAGTATTCATCTTCTCTTTACTTTAGTTCACCTGAACAGGGACTGCTTCCTTTTTGAGACATTTTCTTTATATTAAATGGAAAATCGACGGACCTCAAAGCAATCCAATGTTTTAACTCTCATCACAGATGCATAGCTGTAGGTTTTCAAGATGCTCTTTGGTTAAGAAAAAAAGTAACATTGTTGGAAACTGGGTTTATAATCAGGCGTTTGATCTGTTATATTAAGTGTCGGAGAAAGGCCTTGTGAAAAAGACCCGTCAACTGTTTTTACTGTCTGTGTATGTCGGGCTCCGTTCATTTTGTACAATTGCGAAGGTCATTTTATCACATTCATTTAGCCTAATTTGAGAAGTCACCTCTAGTAATGTTGGTGTCCTAATAAAATGTTTTAAATGATGTTATAAATTATTATTCCTTTTCATGTTCATTGTGCAAGTACAAGGCATAATATTCAATAATTAGCAAAACAGTGAGACAGGTATCAACATTGAACTTTTTGTTATACAATTTATTCACGCTGCTTTTTGCTGTTGATATTTTAAGTGTTTGTTCGTTATGTCTTTTGTCCCACGTCCTCTCAGTGTATTAGATAAATAAGGGAACAGCACAGGTGTAACAGCTGTTGAAGTCCCAGCAGTACTTACTGGTATCTAGCATGGGAATTTTTTATGAACACACAAGATTTACTGACACACTCACCTGATGAATATGCAATAACACTTTGTGATGAGACAGATCAGATTACCACACTTTAATATAGTCTCGCTGAGGCCCTGTGGACGAGTAATGTAAATCCAGGATCATTTTTTTTTTTTAAGTGTTCTTTATCATTTCTACATGCACAGCAATAGTACGCATTTGCTTTAGAAAATCTCTAAACAGAACGATTCAGAAAGGAGGGATTTCAAAGTGTGGACCCTTTGACTTTCTTTAGTGAAATGTGTGGTTTGTCTTTTTCTTGCATTGGAAAAGTTATTTCAACACACTTTGTACATAAGTTACAAAGTTTTGTAACAATTTTTTTTTTTTATATATTTTCTTATATCTTAACTTAGTGTTTTTAACATTTGTGACTTAAGCTGTCTGTGGTCTTTCCTGCTGTAACGGAGTGCAAATATTCCCCTCTGTGGGGACTATAAAGATATTTTGATTTGATTCTGATTGACAGGACTGTGATCTTACCAATCAAATTTTCCTGCAGAAAAGCATATTATTTTCGGAACTCTTTGTGAGTCCCAAACATTTTTTTTTACTTAATTTGGTTTTGGTTAAAATAATGATGGATTTCGTGTGACAACGGGCAAGCTAGCCGTCTGTCTTTTTTTTTAGCTGATGTCCAGGTACTGTGTTGGTTGTGTAAAACGACAGGTATGCACGTTCAGTTGACCAATAATACTTAGCTCAACGCGTGAACACCCTCCCCACATGATATTAAAGGAGGCAGCCAGTCAATGTCTCCTGCAGAGCTCTCTAACCCATCCAAGCTTAAGAATAAATCAACGACAACCAACCTTCATCTGCTCTGTGACGGGAGAGACATCCTCCATGCTTTTGTTCCCTCTTCCGTGTGGCTGGCTCTTTGGGGTGCTTTGTTTTTCAGATGACCTCAAGGGAAGCTTCAGATGGCAGCTGTCCCATGTTCTGGTTTCCTTCACACCGCTGCTACAAGTACATCGCCAAGATTTGACCTGGGCTGCAGCAGAGCTCCAGAATGTGTGTCCGAGGGAGCCAACCTGGTGTCATTCCACAGTCAGGGGGAACATGAAGTTTGTCCATCACTGATCAAGAACTCTTGCCCTGCTGAGGGATCACCATGGATCGGAACTCAGTTACATCCACCAAGAGGAAGTGGATGTGTGGTCTGATGGGTTGCCGCCAAATCTTTCTTTGCATACAGGATGAGCCAACAACGGCCGAGAGGAGTTCAACACTGTGTCGCCACCACTTATTATCAGAAATGGGCATGATTGGATACTGGTTCTATTACTATCCCTCAGTTTGTGCCTCCTCAATAACTTGTCCTTAGGCAACTGAGATGTTCATAATGAACCCGGGCACTGTGAAACTGTTGCTCTGTTAACAAAATACTTTTGACCACAATAAGCATATATTGGCAAGAAAATCTACAAGAGTTGTACAGTGCAATCAGAGAGATACGTATGTCCACGTTTTTGGAGGCAAGTCCCACGGAATTCAGTCTTTGTCGGTCTGTCACCACCTTCGCGCGGCTGCTGGCGCCACTTTGTCCGTCCTCCGCCAGCCCTCTCCAGTTGTCCGTCGGCAATGTCCAGGGCCTTCATGTCACGTTTTACGACATCCTTGAAGCGCAGCAGTTGGTCGTCCTCTGCCTTCTGGAACCAGCGCTCAGCTCGCTGTATAAGATGTCCTTTTGCCACAGTCGGCGCCATATGGCATTCTGTGAAGGTGACCGGCACCGCCCGCAGCTCCTGACCTTCAGTGTTTGGAAAATTGACTTGCTGCCCGTACGCGCAGCACCGCCTCGTTCGTGACCTTGTCCTGCCATGTGATCCGAGGATGTTGGCGCATTGCACAGCATGTGAAAAGCATTTGTCTCTTTTGTGCCGACTCGTAGAGTTGACACGCCTTCGGAACCATACAGTTAGGGAACACTGATTCACGCAAACATGGTAGATTGCGTGTCTTAGTGCGCTCTTGTGGAGGTATTTGTTGGTCCAGGCTCTTGAGCACAAAACGACTGAAAGCGTTGCGGCTTTGCCGATACGAGTCTGGATCTCCTTAACTAATGACAGGTCACTGCTGTTGTTGAGCCAAGATACATGAACTGGGTCAACAGTCTCCAAGCCATGCTCCGTTCACATTTACCCGGCGACGCTGGCGCTTCCTGCTTGGTGCATAACTGTTTTTTGATGTTGACTGATCAAGTGCAAATTCAGAGCATGCTGCACTGAATCTGTCCATAAGGCGATGTGAGACACCAGAGCTGCGTCGTCCGCGAATAAGAGCTCACGAACTAGCACCTTCCGTACCTTTTCTTTTCGCGCTGTCGGGCCAGATTAAACAGCTTCCCATCTGACCGCGTGTGCAGGAAAACGCCGTCTTCGACCACGTGATCGCTGAATCCATGATGCAGCACAACAGAGAAGAAGATGCCGAAAAGCATGGTCGCTAACACGCAGCCTTGTTTGACT